ATTAAAATCAGTATTATTGTTCACCTAAAAATAATTTCCAAAAGATTCCTTATTCTAAACTTTTATATCCCTGAATGTAAGCTCGCTAGCTCTTCTCACACAAGTAACATCTAACTTGTGATGCATCCCGAGCCGTCACCTCTAAAAATACAGTTTTTCAAAATACTTTTTTTCGCAATTTAAAAACCTATAATTTTCACTCTACCTTCCACTTCCATGGCTTAAACATCATCTTTTTCTTATTTCTTCTCAGAATTTCTCCTATCAAATACAAATAGTGAATTATGCCTACACACATATCTGATATTAGTTTTGCTCCCACTCTCTAATTATTTGCATAATAACAGGATCTTGGTTTCTTATGCATCCATCTGCTTAAATGCCTTCTTTCCCACCAGAAGTTATAATCCTTTGTGACATAAGGAGTGGTTGCTCTGGTGATGATGATGATGATGATGATGCGGCACTGCAGAAAATTATGAGTACGTGAGAGAAATAAACAGCAAGAGCTGATCATACTAGTAAGAAGCTTTCATCTAATTTGGTCAAAAATTAATATTGAGAAACACGAGAAAAGTAGATACGTGGAGATGCTGTTGAATAAATTATCTTTTGTTAAAGAAGATTTAGCAAATAAAAAGAGTTCATCTTTAACATTCTGAAGTATCAGGAGTTTGTGCACTGCCTCACTCTCTCTGCTATAAAAAGCATCTTGCCCACAATGCTCTGCCAGTGTTAATTGCTGATGCTGGCCGAGCGCAGGCTGCGTACATGCGCCACAGTAAGCGCTGTTTCCACGTTAAAGATGGTATACAGCATACAGGTACAAGTGCTTTTTGAAGTTACTGACGGCCAAAATGAAAGCTAAGACACTGAGAAGGCAGATGCAAAATAACTTTTATTGTGAATGTACTTTAAGGATAATAACACTGATTAGTGAATTAAGATAAATTATAAACCGTACTTCTTTTCTCCTATATTTCAACTCAGACTTTCCTTAAAGAAATTATGATGATTAAATATCAGCATTCTGAATTGGAACTTGGGAAGTCTGAATTCTAGTTCAGTTCCCTCATTACACGGTTTTTAAAAGCGTATACTGTCTATGCCTGCGGTCCCCACCCCGAGGGCCGCAGACTGGTACTGCTCCGTGGCCTGTTGGGAACTGGGCCGCACAGCAGGAGGTGAGCAGCGGACAAGCGAGCGAAGCTTCGTCTGTATTTACAGCTGCTTCCCATCGCTCACCTCACCACCTGAGCTCCGCCTCGTGTCAGATCAGCAGTAGCATTAGATTCTCATAAGAGTATGAACCCTATTGTAAATTGTGCATTGTAAGGGATCTAGGTTGCGAGCTCCTTATGAGAATCTTATGCCTGATGATCTGAGGTGGAGCTGAGGCGGTGATGCTAGCGCTGGGGAGCGGCTGCAAATACAGATGGTCATCAGCAAAGACCATAATAAATCAACTGCTCGCAGACTGACATCAAACCCCTATCAGTGAGTGGCAAGTGACAATTAAGCTGCATCTGGTGGCAGGCTTTAAGTCAGAATCTGACGCTTAAAGATTCTAGCCTGCCCATTATTTTATTTACCACTTCCGTCTGCGCCTCTTTCCCACAATGCATACTTGTCTCAGTCACAGTTTTTGTAAACCCACAAGCTAATCCTAGCAAAAATGAGTAAAATACAAACATTGCTGGAGAGCTTCTTTGAAAAAGGGCAAAGACCCAATGGTGAGACAGCAGAAGACTCTACGACTGCCAACAAAATGAAAGGTGCGTTTAAAAGAAAATACCCAGAGTCCTACTTAAATTATGGGTTCATCGCAACAGGTGATTCACATTCTCCAAGCCTGCTTGGTATAATATGTGGCAACAGGCTATCCAATGAAGCCGTGAAACCTTCAAAACTGCTTTGCCACATGGAGACCAAACACCCTGCATTAAAAGACAAGACTTTGGAGTGTTTCAAAAGAAAAAAAAAGTGAACATGAAGAACAGAAGCAATTATTGAAGGCCACCGCTTCATCAGATGTGTCTGCACTGAGAGCATCATGCTTAGAGGCTAAATGCATCGCTAAAGCTAAGAAGCCCTTTACTATTGGTGAAGAGTTGATCCTGCCTGCTGCTAAGGACATTTGCCGTGAACATTTAGGAGAGGCTGCAGTTCCAAAGGTGGCACATGTTCCTCTTCCGGCTAGCACCGTAACTAGACGAATTAATGAAACAGCAGAGGATACTGAGGCACAATTATTAGAGAGGATGAAGGAGTCACTGTGGTTCGCAATCCAGGCTGACGAGTCTACCGATGTTGGCAACAAGGCGACAATGCTTGTTTTTGTGCGATATATTTCTCAGGAGGACGTGCATGAGGATAGGTTATGTGCACTTTCATTGCCAACCAACACCACAGCTGCAGAACCATTCGAGTCTTTGAATGATTCCATACCAGGAAAACTGAATTTTGTGTCGGTATATGCAGGGACGGAGCAGCTGCCATGACTAGACAGCTTCCTGGTTTCCCTACTCGGGTCAAGGAGGT